GGGGGGGGAGATGCTGTATGTGCATCCCTGGCGTGGCGGGCACAGCCTCCGGCTCGGCAGAAAGGGAAGCGGAGGGGATGGAGGGCGGCTGGGTGCTCGCGGCGTTGCTGTGTGCTCCTGTGCAGGGCTTGGGATGGAGAGGAGAGCCCATGTTGGAAGCCACCCCCTTGTCCCTGCGTGGAACCAGCCCAGGGGCTGCCACTGTCCTTCCCTTGCTCCGAAACACGTGCCCTGGCTCAGCATCCCCTACCTTCACCCGTGTTTAGTGTCATCACCAGGTGCTGGAAAAGTTGGGACCCAAGGGCTGGGCTGGGGGAGCAGGAAGCTGTGGGGGAGCTGCAGGGGGAGTTACTGGGGGCTCTGGGCTCCGGGGTGGCAACTGCCTGTCCCAACAGAAGTGGTGCCACCGGCGTTCCTGGCCCTGCTTTTCTTCTCGGTTTGCTTTTCCCTTCATCTTTCCCCCCCTCTCTCCCATCTGCTCTCCCTCCTCTCCCCTCCAGCCGTGTTTGCCGAGGGAGCATAGATGCCCAAGTCCTGCTGCTGGCGGCAGATGATCTATAGTTCCCTATGGATATAGGTCCTGATGTTGCCCAGACCCCTTCTCCCCTCCACTCCCTCCCTGAGCCTTTCTGCAGCAGGTCCTGGGGAAGCCCCAGCACAGCCGAAGGACACAGCTCTGGCACCAGCCCCTCCGGACCTGCCAGGTCCTTATCTGCCCCCAGTGCCTGGTGGGACGGGTGGTTTTCAGCTCAGGGGTAGCCCAGCACAGCCAGGACAGCCAGGGGCATCTCAGACATGCTTGGTTGGAGGGTGCACAATCCACTGTCGTCCTCACCCACCGGGTCTGGGGTGTCTGAGGCTGTAGAAAACCATCAGAGATATCTCCATCACCTGAGACAGGTGCAGAGACCACCCCCTGCCTCTGCTGGACACTGAGCTTCTCTGCAGATCTCCCTTCAGCTCAGTTTCCAAAAATCCCCTCGCATCCCCAGCCGCCGGTCAGGTCCTCTGCCTCAGTTTCCCCCTGGCAGTGCTTGTTGCTGGGTGTCTTTAAGGAGCCAGGCAGTGTGATGTGGTCTGGATAACCCGGGACACACAGACACATCAACAGATGTTTCCTGCTCCATCTTAACTTCTTTTGGCTGGTTTGTCTCCTCTTGCACGAAGGAGTGCTCGAGTGATCTCTTTGAAACCTCTCCCCTCTTAAAACCTGCTAATTATGAAAATGAGCTGCTGTGGGTTTTCTCCAGCCCTTCTGCTCTCCCAGAGTGGGATACCCTCGGGTGGGCATCTCCTTCGGGTGGGCATCTCCTTCGGGTGCTGCTCTGCTCTGGGTGCTTTCACCACTTGCCTGCCTTGCTGTGGTGGGAGCAGGTGAGCTGGGGGATGCTCTGGTCTTTGCTCCTGCGGATCAGCGCTGCTTATGTCAAGCCAGCTGGCTTTTATCCGGAGCAGACGAGTGTGTGAGCCCCTAATACCCACTCCTCCTCCTCCTCCTCCTCCCTCCGCAGCTGGGTCCTTCCAGCCCTCCCCAACGGAAAGCTCTGCATCCTCACTGCAACCCGAATATCTCTGGCTTATTAAAACACAGGGGGCGAGGGGAAAAAACACTCATTGTGGGTAAATGGCTCTTTGTGTGCCATTATAGCTGGGCTGGCACATTTTTGGCCATCCCTTGGGTGTGCAGGTTTGTGTGTCTGTGGGGATATCCCCAAGCAACCATGATCTGTGCTAGGGAGGGGGGGCCAACCTGCATTCCCTTCACCATCGAGTGGGGTTTATCCGCTCCCCATCCCTCGGTGGCAGCAGTTTAATGCCAGCCTGGTCCATGGAAAGAGGCTCTTTCCCTTTGCCCCCCTCCAGTGTCTCACCATGGCGATAACGGAGCCACGCAGAGCAGCTGTGGGTCCCCACGTCTGCTCGGCAGGCGGGTGTCAAAACAAGCATCGCTGGCGAGGGGTTTGTGTGGGCAAACATCTCCTCGGTGCCTGCTGGCTCCCAGTGCCAGCCAGTGCGTCCGTGGGCTGATGGGTTTTCTCCCTGGCAATAGGAAGGGAAGATGGGGAGGGGGAGATTTCAGCAGTGCGTGGGGAGTGGGTACAGCCCAGCTGGGTGAGTCCCTTGGTGTAGAAGAGGTATTTTTGGGTGCCCCAAGCGCAGGGGCAGCATGGCCATGTCTCACCCCCTCTTCCCTCCGCAGCCGTCAGTGCGTCCGTGGGCTGATGGGTTTTCTCCCTGGCAATACGAAGGGAAGATGGGGAGGGGGAGATTTCAACGGGGGGTACAGCCCAGCTGGGTGAGTCCCTTGGTGTAGAAGAGGTATTTTTGGGTGCCCCAAGCGCAGGGGCAGCATGGCCATGTCTCACCCCCCCCTTCCCTCCGCAGCCACCGCCGCTCACTTCAGCTTCTGCCGCAGCCTCCTGGAGCACACGGTCTCGGCCGAGAACCTCAGCTACCGCCTGCAGAGGAACCCGGGCAGCAGCCTCACCTGGCCGATCTCTTTGAAACCTCTCCCCTCTTAAAACCTGCTAATTATGAAAATGAGCTGCTGTGGGTTTTCTCCAGCCCTTCTGCTCTCCCAGAGTGGGATACCCTCGGGTGGGCATCTCCTTCGGGTGGGCATCTCCTTCGGGTGCTGCTCTGCTCTGGGTGCTTTCACCACTTGCCTGCCTTGCTGTGGTGGGAGCAGGTGAGCTGGGGGATGCTCTGGTCTTTGCTCCTGCGGATCAGCGCTGCTTATGTCAAGCCAGCTGGCTTTTATCCGGAGCAGACGAGTGTGTGAGCCCCTAATACCCACTCCTCCTCCTCCTCCTCCTCCCTCCGCAGCTGGGTCCTTCCAGCCCTCCCCAACGGAAAGCTCTGCATCCTCACTGCAACCCGAATATCTCTGGCTTATTAAAACACAGGGGGCGAGGGGAAAAAACACTCATTGTGGGTAAATGGCTCTTTGTGTGCCATTATAGCTGGGCTGGCACATTTTTGGCCATCCCTTGGGTGTGCAGGTTTGTGTGTCTGTGGGGATATCCCCAAGCAACCATGATCTGTGCTAGGGAGGGGGGGCCAACCTGCATTCCCTTCACCATCGAGTGGGGTTTATCCGCTCCCCATCCCTCGGTGGCAGCAGTTTAATGCCAGCCTGGTCCATGGAAAGAGGCTCTTTCCCTTTGCCCCCCTCCAGTGTCTCACCATGGCGATAACGGAGCCACGCAGAGCAGCTGTGGGTCCCCACGTCTGCTCGGCAGGCGGGTGTCAAAACAAGCATCGCTGGCGAGGGGTTTGTGTGGGCAAACATCTCCTCGGTGCCTGCTGGCTCCCAGTGCCAGCCGGTGCGTCCGTGGGCTGATGGGTTTTCTCCCTGGCAATAGGAAGGGAAGATGGGGAGGGGGAGATTTCAGCGGTGGGGAGTGGGTACAGCCCAGCTGGGTGAGTCCCTTGGTGTAGAAGAGGATAGGAAGGGAAGATGGGGAGGGGGAGATTTCAGCAGTGCGTGGGGAGTGGGTACAGCCCAGCTGGGTGAGTCCCTTGGTATAGAAGAGGTATTTTTGGGTGCCCCAAGCGCAGGGGCACCGTGGCCATGTCTCACCCCCCCTTCCCTCCGCAGCCACCGCCGCTCACTTCAGCTTCTGCCGCAGCCTCCTGGAGCACACGGTCTCGGCCGAGAACCTCAGCTACCGCCTGCAGAGGAACCCGGGCAGCAGCCTCACCTGGCACGACGGCCGGAGCCAGCGGCCCGACGGCGGCCGGACGGTCAAGCTCCTGCGGCAGCCGGGCACCGAGGGCTCACAGGTACCCCCCCGGGATCCTCCGCACCCCCCCCAGGGCTGCCCAGGGGAACGCAGCTCCTCCTGTGTCCCTACCCCACCCCATCCCATCAATTTCCTGCAGGAGCATCTTCCCCTGTCGCTGCAGGGTCAGGCCTTCTGGTCCCGCTTTGCTGAAAGCCCTCGTGATGATCGGGTGTTTAATGCTAGTGCTATGTATAAATATAATAATGTAATTATTATCGTCAGGCTGGGGGCTGTGCTGGGGTGAGCTCTCTGTGTCACCTCCCCTCCACACCTGGAGCTGGGACTTCATACAATTTTGCAGTAAATGTGCCAGAACCAAATTCCTTTGTAATGCCTTAAAATCCCTGAGCGCTTGGATATGTCTCTTAGTCAGGTCTGAGCCATTGACCTCCTAAAATTCTGAACTTTATTGCATTAACGAGGCCGTGAGCTGAAGGTTTCCAGCCATTTGCCTGCTGCACGGCCTCCGCAGGGCTGGGGGAAGGAGCATCTTCCCAGTGAGCAGCTCCTGGTGCTTCCTAGTCCCTTCCTACCGCCCTGGGAGCAGTGATGAGAGGCAGCACATCCACCCTGCTGGAAAGAAAATGGGGAAAATTGTACTGCCCAGCTTCCAGACTCCGACATGGAGATGCTTTTGCATCTCGAGGACCTGGCTGGTCCCTGCAGGGCTGGGTACAGTCCCACCATCACAGGGGTGGCAGCCCCTTGGGTCCCCATGTCCTGACAGTGCTGTGCCTCTCATCCCCATCGCCCCTCCAGGCACCCAGGTGGCCCCTTCCCTCTCGTACCTCTGTGAAAAGCTTGGGGACACGGGGACAGTGCTGCCTGTGCTGTTCAGGGGATGCACCAACCACCCTGTGGGTGCCACCTGCATTCATCATGGCTCTCCCTCATCTGCCTCTATGTGTCTCCTGGGGGTGGGATTTGGGCAGGGGAGACAGGCTTTTCATTTTGCCATAAGCAAGGAAAAATGCCCGAGAGAGGGGAGGTGACATGAGTTGCTCCCTGCAGCTCCCAGGGGATGGCTCCCCCCAACCACCTCCTGCCTCCGAGTCCCCCCCCGCCTGCTCTCCTCAACACCGGCGCTCGATATTCACGGCTGAGAGTTTATCAGAGAGACAGCCCAGCTCAACCGGCTGGAAAACGAGCCCGGGACTCATTACACCCCCCCTTCCCACCGGGGGAGCGCAGGAGCTCACTCGGGGACCCACTGAGGGGATGAGGGGGGCCTCACCAACCGTGGGGGGGTGATGCACCCCGAGCAGGCAGCATTTAGGGATGCTGAGATGGGGCTGGGGCTGCGTGTGATGGGAGAAGCGCCTGCAGACACGAGCGTGCTCAGGGAAATTGCAGGTTGTTTGTCACCTCTTCCCCCGTGCCTCAGAGGGTTAGTGGGATAATAGCGGTGGGAAGCTCCCGGGAAGCTCGCCGTGATTTTCCCCCAGCCCCTCCACTTCTCATCACGGCTCGTTAGTGGATCTGGAGCCAATGGCCGCCTCCTCCCCACGGCAGCTCTCCGGTGCTCAGCCGAGTGTGAAGGAGCCGAGCGGCCGGCGCGGGCTTGGGGATGCTCCCCCACGGCAGCTCTCCGGTGCTCAGCCGAGTGCGAAGGAGCCGAGCGCCTGGCACGGGCTGGGGATGCTCCTGCTGGCAGATGGCTCCCGGGATGGGCCTTGAGGAGGGGGGCAGGGAGCTCCTGGGGGATCCCCCAAAAGTGAGGGTTTGATTGGGAAAGCGAATCGTGCACGTCGCCCATCGCATTGTCCATCTGCTTTGGAGATGGATTCCTTGGTTATTCATTTTCAGCCTCCCATCTTTGCCGCCTTCCCTCTCTCTGGAATGTCCCCTGCTGCCACCCGTGAGCCCTCCTTGAGGCAAGGTCCCTTCCCAAGGCCAAATTTCCCCCTCCGGGTGCAGCAGCAGCCCCTGCCAGGCTGGTTGGGCTTCATGGGGTGAGCGATGCCCGGTTCAGGGCTGGGGGAGACATCCCAGACTCCGCTGCCCTCCGCTGCCTCCTCTCTGACATCTCTCAGGGACGTGTCATTAGTTTCAGTAACTGCGGGATGTCTGGAGTCCCTGTTACACTAATTATCTCTGCTCCTCTATTAGGCATGCTTAATTAGCCACTGTTCGCACACGGAGGTCGATGTTGGCAAACTGCAGTCCAAGTGCTGTCGACCTTTCCCATTCTGGCACATTCCCGTATCGGATGCTGCCTCTGCCGTGTCCTGGTCATGGGTGAGGGCCGTGCCAGCAGGGACCCTGGCAATCCAGGGTGTTCCAGGCAACAGGGACTCCTTTTCCATCCCCACCTGCCCACGGTCCAGCCCAGGACAGTCCCAGCAGCCTGGGTGCAGGGAGCTGCTTTGGAGGAGCGATGTTTGATGATGCTCGAGGATGAAGCCTCAGCAGCAGCAGCAGCAGAGAACTCACTGACCTCCCCCGAGTGCTAAAACCAGGAAAAGGTGGATTTCTGCATCCCCCAGCCCCATTTCCCAGTCAGCCTTGGGGATCCCCCACCCTGGGAGAAGCAGACTCATCCCCACGCGCTGCTACAGCTCGAAGCGTTTGATTTGCTCCACACCGAGATAAATCCAGGCTGCAACGACCTCGTGAGGCTGGAATGGCTGTGATGTGGGCGAGGAAATGGAGCTACTGGGTGGTTCGGGGAGAGACCAGCCACTCCAGCAGGCAGCTGGAGGGATGGGGGAGGGAGGGATGCTGTTGGACAAACCCCATCTCCCCGTGGGCACTGCTTCTCCCTGCCTGCATTGAGGCCAGGGCAGTTTGGGCAAGGGGGTGAGGGTGGGTGGCAGGGGTCTCCAGGAAGTGGAGGGTGGCCAGGGCATGCCACGGCACTGAGGACTGTGATCCCAGTTTATCCTGGGTGTCTCCAGGCATGGCAGCATCCTAAAAAAGAACTGTAGGGTGCAGAGGTGGCTTTAGATGCCTGTGAGGCTGCAGGATCTCGTCGTGGCCGGTCAGCTCAGGGTTGAAGGAGGTTGAGCAGGACAGAAAGGGAGAGTCCCTCCTGCTCCAGGGCACCAGCTGGCTGCTGGCTGCTTCCCTGGGGACTTCTGGTGGGGATGGCTTTGCACCAGTACCCTCCTGCCCCCCAGGACCTCACTGCCTCCATCCCCACTGAGAGCTGCCAGTGAGCACCCTTCTTTGCCTGGTGAGGGGGGGGACGCTGGGGACCCCCAGAACATCTCCTGAGCGTATGTGATGCTCTGCTGGGCTGGGAGATGAGTAGGGGAAGGGGGCTGGGGTTCTTGCCTGCAGTAGGAGGGCCGGGGAGCTCCTGGCTGTGGGGTCTGTGTATGGCAGGACCCACACCTCGACCTCCCATCCCCACCTCCCTCACCGTTTCCTCTGATGCTGCTGTTTCAGAGGGAGCCCAGAGACCCCAGAGGGTGCAAAGACAAAATCTGCCACCACCATCGGTGTAGCCTCGTGCCACTGGCCAGCATCTCCCCTGTCCCTGGGGGCTGACCTCCCAGCCAAGGCATTTTCCTCCTCCCAGGGCCGAGTCCCACTAACCCCTTCTCCTCCCGCTCCCTGCAGGGCCGTGGCTGTGACCACTATGGCATCTACCACACCAGCCCCACGCTGGGCAGCCTGGCCAAGCCCGTGGTGCTCTGGACCCAGCAGGATGTGTGCAAATGGCTGAAGAAGCACTGCCCACACAACTATCTCATCTACGTCGAGGCGTTCGCCCACCACGCCATCACAGGTACGGTGGGCACCCCCACTTAATCACCGGTACTAATTAATTGCCATTAGTACGTGCTCCCGAGAAATAGCTGTTTGGAGGTTCAGGGTTGGGAAGACAGATGTACCCCCCGTTTCTGTCCCCTCTTCCCATGGAGATGCAGCCAGGATGAGAGCTGCCCCACAGCACCAGGCTTGGGGACACCCACCCAGGCTGGGCAGGAGGTGTTTGCTCCAGGACAGGCTGGAGGATGTTTAAAATGAGCATAAATTGCCCAGGAGAGATTGTGGTTTAAAAGATGGGGAAAAGTCCTCTTCTTGCCCAGATTAATATAATAAGAATATTTTTACAGCTCTTTTAAATACCGGAAATTTTTGCAGAAGAGGAAAGATCTCTGTCCAGCTGGAGCCCAAGCTGCAAATGTCCTCCTCCAGGACCTCCAGCCAAGTCCTCAGAGGAGGATAACCTCTGGGATCTGCTCCCTCCCCTCTTGGGAACTCTGGCTTTGACCCCTACGTATGAGCATCATCCCGGTCCGAGCGTGATGTGCGTGGCCAGGCAGAGCTCTGCCAGGGCCAGAAGAAAGCAGCAGGGAAGGGAGGGCTGGAGATGCCTGGGAGGGATGCAAACCCTAATGCAGGAGCTCAGCCAGCCCTTGCAGGGGAAACAAAAAGGCAGCATTAGCAAATGTACGCTGGGAAGCAAGGACAAAAGCTGGTTGTAAATCCCTCATTTAACAGCCCCCGGACTGGAGGAGAGTGGCTCGATGGGGACAGTGGTGGCAATGCTAATGCCTTTTGATGGGTACCCCCATTCCCCCGGGACGGCCAGCCCGCTCGGGGACCCTGCACTCGGAAAGATATCCCCTGATGTGGGAGGTGGAGCGGAGAAGTGGAAAGCTCCTGCCTGCGGGGATGGGTTACGTGACAGCCAGTACCTGTCCCGAGGCTGGGGACATCCAGCTGCCACCCACTGCTCTCCAAAAGTGGGGCCTAAATCCCTCATTTAACAGCCCCCGGACTGGAGGAGAGTGGCTCGATGGGGACAGTGGTGGCAATGCTAATGCCTTTTGATGGGTACCCCCATTCCCCCGGGACGGCCAGCCCGCTCGGGGACCCTGCACTCGGAAAGATATCCCCTGATGTGGGAGGTGGAGCGGAGAAGTGGAAAGCTCCTGCCTGCGGGGATGGGTTACGTGACAGCCAGTACCTGTCCCGAGGCTGGGGACATCCAGCTGCCACCCACCGCTCTCCAAAAGTGGGGCCACATGAGATGCTCCCCCACCCCTGTGGGTCCAGGTGGTGAAAGAGCATTTTGAGCTTTCTCCCCTTTAACCCTGCACATCCCCACGTGAAGATGGGCTCCTGCATGAGTTGCGCTTTTGGGGGTGTCCCCCCGTCACACCCCCATTCACCCAGGACAGCCAGCCCGCACGGGGACCCTGCACTTGGAAAGACATCCCCTGATGTGGGAGGTGGAGCAGAGAAGCAGGAGAACCTCCCCTGATGTGGGAGGTGGAGCAGAGAAGCGTAAAGCTCCTGCCTGCGGGGATGGGTTACGTGACAGCCAGTACCTGTCCCGAGGCTGGGGACAGTGGTTTAGTGATGATGCTCCTTGTTTGTTGTGTGGGTGTCTATTTTTGTCAGTTAGGTTGACGGTTGGACAAGATGATCTTTAAGGTCCCTTCCAACCTAGAAGATTCTGTGATTCTGTGACATCCAGCTGCCACCCCTCCGCTCTCCAAAAGTGGGGCTACATGAGATGCTCCCCCACCCCTGTGGGTCCAGGTGGTGAAAGAACATTTTGGGGCTTTCTCCCCTTTCCCCCTGCGCGTCCCCACGTGGAGATGGGCTCCCCTGTGAGTTGTGCTTTTGGGGGTGTCACCCCCAATGTGGTGCCACCGTGCCGTGTCCTGCAGGTCGGGCGCTGCTGCGGCTGAACGGGGAGAAGCTGCAGCGCATGGGCATCGCTCACGAGGCGCAGCGGCAGGAGGTCCTGCAGCAGGTCCTGCAGCTCCAGGTGCGCGAGGAGGTCCGAAACCTGCAGCTGCTCAGCCAAGGTAGGGCCAGCGGGAGGCCGAGCAGGGAGAAGAAGCCACCAACCCCAGGGAGGTTGTCCGCTGACCTCCCAGCCAAGGCATTTTCCTCCTCCCAGGGCCGAGTCCCACTAACCCCTTCTCCTCCCGCTCCCTGCAGGGCCGTGGCTGTGACCACTATGGCATCTACCACACCAGCCCCACGCTGGGCAGCCTGGCCAAGCCCGTGGTGCTCTGGACCCAGCAGGATGTGTGCAAATGGCTGAAGAAGCACTGCCCACACAACTATCTCATCTACGTCGAGGCGTTCGCCCACCACGCCATCACAGGTACGGTGGGCACCCCCACTTAATCACCGGTACTAATTAATTGCCATTAGTACGTGCTCCCGAGAAATAGCTGTTTGGAGGTTCAGGGTTGGGAAGACAGATGTACCCCCCGTTTCTGTCCCCTCTTCCCATGGAGATGCAGCCAGGATGAGAGCTGCCCCACAGCACCAGGCTTGGGGACACCCACCCAGGCTGGGCAGGAGGTGTTTGCTCCAGGACAGGCTGGAGGTTGTTTAAAATGAGCATAAATTGCCCAGGGGAGACTGTGGTTTAAAAGATGGGGAAAAGTCCTCTTCTTGCCCAGATTAATATAATAAGAATATTTTTACAGCTCTTTTAAATACCGGAAATTTTTGCAGAAGAGGAAAGATCTCTGTCCAGCTGGAGCCCAAGCTGCAAATGTCCTCCTCCAGGACCTCCAGCCAAGTCCTCAGAGGAGGATAACCTCTGGGATCTGCTCCCTCCCCTCTTGGGAACTCTGGCTTTGACCCCTACGTATGAGCATCATCCCGGTCCGAGCGTGATGTGCGTGGCCAGGCAGAGCTCTGCCAGGGCCAGAAGAAAGCAGCAGGGAAGGGAGGGCTGGAGATGCCTGGGAGGGATGCAAACCCTAATGCAGGAGCTCAGCCAGCCCTTGCAGGGGAAACAAAAAGGCAGCATTAGCAAATGTACGCTGGGAAGCAAGGACAAAAGCTGGTTGTAAATCCCTCATTTAACAGCCCCCGGACTGGAGGAGAGTGGCTCGATGGGGACAGTGGTGGCAATGCTAATGCCTTTTGATGGGTACCCCCATTCCCCCGGGACGGCCAGCCCGCTCGGGGACCCTGCACTCGGAAAGATATCCCCTGATGTGGGAGGTGGAGCGGAGAAGTGGAAAGCTCCTGCCTGCGGGGATGGGTTACGTGACAGCCAGTACCTGTCCCGAGGCTGGGGACATCCAGCTGCCACCCACCGCTCTCCAAAAGTGGGGCCACATGAGATGCTCCCCCACCCCTGTGGGTCCAGGTGGTGAAAGAGCATTTTGAGCTTTCTCCCCTTTAACCCTGCACATCCCCACGTGAAGATGGGCTCCTGCATGAGTTGCGCTTTTGGGGGTGTCCCCCCGTCACACCCCCATTCACCCAGGACAGCCAGCCCGCACGGGGACCCTGCACTTGGAAAGACATCCCCTGATGTGGGAGGTGGAGCAGAGAAGCGTAAAGCTCCTGCCTGCGGGGATGGGTTACGTGACAGCCAGTACCTGTCCCGAGGCTGGGGACAGTGGTTTAGTGATGATGCTCCTTGTTTGTTGTGTGGGTGTCTATTTTTGTCAGTTAGGTTGACGGTTGGACAAGATGATCTTTAAGGTCCCTTCCAACCTAGAAGATTCTGTGATTCTGTGACATCCAGCTGCCACCCCTCCGCTCTCCAAAAGTGGGGCTACATGAGATGCTCCCCCACCCCTGTGGGTCCAGGTGGTGAAAGAACATTTTGGGGCTTTCTCCCCTTTCCCCCTGCGCGTCCCCACGTGGAGATGGGCTCCCCTGTGAGTTGTGCTTTTGGGGGTGTCACCCCCAATGTGGTGCCACCGTGCCGTGTCCTGCAGGTCGGGCGCTGCTGCGGCTGAACGGGGAGAAGCTGCAGCGCATGGGCATCGCTCACGAGGCGCAGCGGCAGGAGGTCCTGCAGCAGGTCCTGCAGCTCCAGGTGCGCGAGGAGGTCCGAAACCTGCAGCTGCTCAGCCAAGGTAGGGCCAGCGGGAGGCCGAGCAGGGAGAAGAAGCCACCAACCCCAGGGAGGTTGTCCCCCCCCTTCCTGCACCATCCAGACAAGGAGAGCGGTGCCTGGGTGGCTGCCAAAGCCAGAGGCACCCACCTGTGTGTCACTGGTGAAAACACAGCCCACTCTGTGGAGAGGGGTTGTGCACAGATTGGGGTGCACAGGGCTGTGGTGGATGGGGACGGGTTGTGGCTGGTGCACAGGGCTGGGCTGGGGTGCACAGGTTGTGGTGCACAGGGCTGGGGTGCACAGGGATGGGCTGTGGTGAACAGTTTGTGGTGCATGGGGATGAGTGGTGATGCACACCAGTTGTGGTGCACCGGGATGGACCGTGGTGCACAGGTTTTGGTGCCCAGGGACAGATTTTGGTGCACAGAGCTGGGGTGTGTGGGGACAGCTGTGGTGCACAGGTTGTGGTGCACAGGGCCAGGTTTTGGTGAACAGATTATAGTGCACAGGGCTGGGCTGTGGTGCACGGGGACAGGTTTTGGTGCACAGATTATGGTGCACAGGGTTGGGCTGTGGTGCACAGGGACAGGTTTTGGTGCACAGGTTATAGTGCATGGGGCTGGGCTGTGGTGCACAGGGCCAGGTTTTGGTGCACAGATTATATTGCACAGGGCTGGGCTGTGGTGCACAGGGCCAGGTTTTGGTGCACAGGGCTGTAGCAGCCGGGGGTGCCCGGGGTGAGGCTGGGGGTTCCTGGGTGCCAGGTCCCCGCTGGCTCTGGTGCCCTGTCGTGCACCCTCCCGTGCCGTTTCTGCTCCCACCAGCTCTTCACAGAGCTCTCTCCTTCTCCAAGGAATTCACAAATGCTCATCCCCACCTCCTGCCCAGGGGCTGGTGATGGTGCCACCGAACCCAGGAACCATCCCGAGGACCCAGCTCGTCGTTAAGGGAAAGAGATGGGAAGAAGGAGTCGGTGACAGACAGAGCTCAGCTTTGAGGACAAATGGAGTGTGGTTATTCCCGGGAAGGCTCAGAGCCACGCACAGGACGGGGGAGCCTTATGCACAGGGGCGACATCCCAGCTCCCGGAGGCTCGTCTCCGTACCCCGGAGCTTATTTAGGAAACTTTAGTTTTCTCTTCAGACTGGGCTGTCTTCCAGCATCCTAGGACGTAAGGTTGTCAGTAGCAAATAGGATGACCCCGCCAGCCAAAAAAAAAAAAATAAAATTTAAAAGCGGAGCCAAGTCACCAGCACCCAGCTCCACTCGGTGAGTTAAAAAGGGAGCTGAGTCATCAGAGCTGGAAAATCCGGGAGCAAAGGCAGGGTGGATGAGCCAGGAGGGTGCTGTTGGCTGGAGGAGACTGCACCAGGAGCTCGTCTTTCATCCATCCTCGTTTGCTGGCAGACGGGGGAGTTGACACAGGGGCCGGGTGGGAGCAGCCGGGGGTGCCCGGGGTGAGGCTGGGGGTTCCTGGGTGCCAGGTCCCCGCTGGCTCTGGTGCCCCGTCGTGCACCCTCCCGTGCCGTTTCTGCTCCCACCAGCTCTTCACAGAGCTCTCTCCTTCTCCAAGGAATTCACAAATGCTCATCCCCACCTCCTGCCCAGGGGCTGGTGATGGTGCCACCGAACCCAGGCACCATCCCGAGGACCCAGCTCGTTTTTAAGGTGAAGCAGTGTTTACTGTTACACCCCCACACACACTCAACCCCCCCCTGTCCAGAGCTACAGACTGCTCGTGTGGGCAGGGAAGGAGTAACTGAGGATTTAGGGGCAGGGTGGATGCTGTCACCTCCCCACGTTCCTCCTCCGGTGACAAGGGCAGGGCTGTGGGGCCAGGGGGGCTCCCGAAACAACAGCACCCCAAAGCCCCCGAGGCATCAGAGCCAGCAGGGATGTGGAGGAAGATGAGGGTGGCCCCCCCAGCTGGGTGTCCACCCACTACCCACCTGCTCCTCTGCTAGTAATAAAATATGAGACTGTTATTTTAACTTGCTGATCTTCTGACTTCTGAAGTGCTCCTCCCACTCCTGAACCTGCACCGTGGGTTTGGTCCCTCCAGCCCTTCCCGGGGAGGCTCAGGAGATGTCTACAGCCCTGAATCCCCTGGGACAAGCACCTCCACGGGAGACAGGGGTCCCAATGGATGTCCCTGTGGGAATAAACCTCAGCTTAAGGGTTTTTCCAGTATTTTAATCCCCCTCCATCTCCACAGAACTGCTGATAATTAAGAAGCTGATAATCTTTGCCAGCAGGTGGCTGGAGAGGGACAGTGAGGGGGGTTTGGGGGGATTTGGGGTCATGGTTACCACTCCAGCACAGATAACGACTCATGGCAACTGGAGCCTGGGGCTGGTGCAGGACAACACCATCCCAATGTCATCCCTGTCCCATTGTGGTGACGCTGCTCCTCAGTGAAGGAGCTGGGACATTTCACAGGGGTGGGACCAAAGTTGAGCTGAAAACAAGCTGTTTGCCCATGGCTAAAAAAAAAATTGTGATTGCACCCCAAGGATTTTTGTCTACCCCATGAAATCCCCAAAGAAAGCTGTCCTCAGAGCCCTCCAGGTGGTTTTGAGGTGTCAGCAGGTCAGGAGGAGATTTGCCTCCAGGATTTGGAGGGCAGGAACCCCCCAGAGCCAACAGAGGCTGGACGGGGGGTGTCAATCAGCGCCTGGGGCCCTCCAGGTGGTTTTGAGGTGTCAGCAGGGCAGGAGGAGATGTAACACCCCAGGGATTTGCCTCCAGGATTTGGAGGGCAGAAACCCCCCAGAGCTTGGACCCCCAAGTTTGGTGCACAGATTATGGTGCACAGGGTTGGGCTGTGGTGCACAGGGACAGGTTTTGGTGCACAGGTTATAGTGCATGGGGCTGGGCTGTGGTGCACAGGGCCAGGTTTTGGTGCACAGGGCTGTGGTGCACAGGTTATAGTGCACGGGGATGGGCTGTGGTGCACAACCCAAAATCCATGAGTTTGCCTGGGAAGGCTGGGATTCTGCGGGGCTGGCAGTGGGTGAGCTGGAAGGTGCCACCCTGCAGGCTGTTTATTCCTTCCTCTCCCGCCTTGTTCCAGCTTCTTTTGGCAATGTCTCCTAGCTGATCCGTCTGTTTGGCAGATTGTACCAACACTGTGAACCCAGCACCTCTGGGATGGGCTGTGCACCGCCGATACGAGACCTGACCCGCACGCTCGGAATACGAAGAGACAGCTTCCCAGCCACCCCGGGGCTTCTCTCCTTCTTCTTCTTTCTCTTTCTATTTTTTTATTTTATTTTATGAATACATTTCTGTGCAGAGATGGGAGGTTTCCTCCGGCAGACGTGGCTTTTGGCTGGAGGAAAATGAACAAAGCGGCCGCTGGGACAGACGAACTTTTGCCCACCTGAACCTGAGGGTTTGGAGGGAAAGAGATGGGAAGAAGGAGTCGGTGACAGACAGAGCTCAGCTTTGAGGACAAATGGAGTGTGGTTATTCCCGGGAAGGCTCAGAGCCACGCACAGGACGGGGGAGCCTTATGCACAGGGGCGACATCCCAGCTCCCGGAGGCTCGTCTCCGTACCCCGGAGCTTATTTAGGAAACTTTAGTTTTCTCTTCAGACTGGGCTGTCTTCCAGCATCCTAGGACGTAAGGTTGTCAGTAGCAAATAGGATGACCCCGCCAGCCAAAAAAAAAAAAATAAAATTTAAAAGCGGGGCCAAGTCACCAGCACCCAGCTCCACTCGGTGAGTTAAAAAGGGAGCTGAGTCATCAGAGCTGGAAAATCCGGGAGCAAAGGCAGGGTGGATGAGCCAGGAGGGTGCTGTTGGCTGGAGGAGACTGCACCAGGAGCTCGTCTTTCATCCATCCTCGTTTGCTGGCAGACGGGGGAGTTGACACAGGGGCCGGGTGGTCGCAGCCGGGGGTGCCCGGGGTGAGGCTGGGGGTTCCTGGGTGCCAGGTCCCCGCTGGCTCTGGTGCCCCGTCGTGCACCCTCCCGTGCCGTTTCTGCTCCCACCAGCTCTTCACAGAGCTCTCTCCTTCTCCAAGGAATTCACAAATGCTCATCCCCACCTCCTGCCCAGGGGCTGGTGATGGTGCCACCGAACCCAGGCACCATCCCGAGGACCCAGCTCGTTTTTAAGGTGAAGCAGTGTTTACTGTTACACCCCCACACACACTCAACCCCCCCCTGTCCAGAGCTACAGACTGCTCGTGTGGGCAGGGAAGGAGTAACTGAGGATTTAGGGGCAGGGTGGATGCTGTCACCTCCCCACGTTCCTCCTCCGGTGACAAGGGCAGGGCTGTGGGGCCAGGGGGGCTCCCGAAACAACAGCACCCCAAAGCCCCCGAGGCATCAGAGCCAGCAGGGATGTGGAGGAAGATGAGGGTGGCCCCCCCAGCTGGGTGTCCACCCACTACCCACCTGCTCCTCTGCTAGTAATAAAATATGAGACTGTTATTTTAACTTGCTGATCTTCTGACTTCTGAAGTGCTCCTCCCACTCCTGAACCTGCACCGTGGGTTTGGTCCCTCCAGCCCTTCCCGGGGAGGCTCAGGAGATGTCTACAGCCCTGAATCCCCTGGGACAAGCACCTCCACGGGAGACAGGGGTCCCAATGGATGTCCCTGTGGGAATAAACCTCAGCTTAAGGGTTTTTCCAGTATTTTAATCCCCCTCCATCTCCACAGAACTGCTGATAATTAAGAAGCTGATAATCTTTGCCAGCAGGTGGCTGGAGAGGGACAGTGAGGGGGGTTTGGGGGGATTTGGGGTCATGGTTACCACTCCAGCACAGATAACGACTCATGGCAACTGGAGCCTGGGGCTGGTGCAGGACAACACCATCCCAATGTCATCCCTGTCCCATTGTGGTGACGCTGCTCCTCAGTGAAGGAGCTGGGACATTTCACAGGGGTGGGACCAAAGTTGAGCTGAAAACAAGCTGTTTGCCCATGGCTAAAAAAAAAATTGTGATTGCACCCCAAGGATTTTTGTCTACCCCATGAAATCCCCAAAGAAAGCTGTCCTCAGAGCCCTCCAGGTGGTTTTGAGGTGTCAGCAGGGCAGGAGGAGATGTAACACCCCAGGGATTTGCCTCCAGGATTTGGAGGGCAGAAACCCCCCAGAGCTTGGACCCCCAAGTGCCAATAGAGGCTGGACAGGGGGTGTCAACCAGCACCTGGGTAGGGGCTTGGGGAAGGACATGGTGGGGCTGCAGGGTGGGATGCAGGATGCACGGAGCATCCTCAGGCTCCAGCAGTGATGCTGGGACCTTGGGAGGGGTTGTACAAGGTCCAGGTGATGGAAAAATCTCAGAAACAAAATCTGGTTTTCAAGCCATTTTGGTTTGGGTAACTGATTCACCAAATAGTGATCAGGTCCAAGCAGGTGAATTATCTCTCCAGCACCGGGGTGATTTCCACGACACCAGCATCGTTTAAGGAATTTATAACTCACATTTGTCACCCTCAGAGCAGAGGTTTGATGCTGGGTGGAAGGCAGAGCCTCCAAATTTCCCAAATCCAAACTTCCATCAAATTTTCCCAAGTCCAAATTTCTTCCAAATTTCCCCAATTCAAATTTCTTCCAAATTTCTAAAAATCAAAATGTCCTCCAACTCAGAGAAAGGCATCACCTGGTCACTCTCTCCCCTCTCTATGTGGGGGTCGACTTGGCAGGACCTCACCAGCAGGTAAATCCCAGTTGAGCTTTGCTGTGGTGGGGGCAGAAGGTGACTGTGACCCCTGGGAATCTGCAGGGAACTGGCTTTGGAGCTTCACTGTGTGCAGCCCCCAGCCCCCCCGCCAGGACACAGAAATCAGAATTTCCTCCTCTGCCCGCACTGACCTTTTCAAAAATGCATCCAAATTGGCTCTTCTCACCTCGCCAGAACCTCACAAACAACAAAGCTGGGGGAATTTATTGAATTTCAAGAAAAGGAAATAAAACAATCAGGAAAATAAATATCTCCCGTGCAGCGGCATCGTTCTCAGCCCTGGGCTCTGCACCAACGGCCACGATGGAGCCACGTACCCATCCCGGGCTGTGCAGGGGCTGGGTTTGCTCCTTGTTACCCCCTTATGGGGTGAGCAGAGCCCTGGGCAGGATGCGGCCCCATCCCCTCCTGATGCAGCCACGTAGGACACTATTTACCTTTCAGTCCTGGATGGATCACAGCAAGACAACCTGTGGCCAAGAGTGGGGCTGATTCCCCCACCGTGGGTTTAGTTTCTGCCTGAGTGGTGGGTGCTGGTGAAGGGGTGGTGGAGGGTGCCGGGGGGCAGCAGAAGTGGTGGTGGGGGCACAGGGGGCTGCAGGGGAGCAGGCAGCATCCCTGAGAGCAGAGAGGGGGTGCTGGGTGTCTGGCTGCGGGTGAAGAGCATCGTTAGAGGGAGATGCTGAGCTTCTCTCCAGAGCTTCAGAGCTGCGCGGGGGAGAAATGGCTCCTCCAGACTCCAAGCAGTGCTCATGCAGTGAGGTGGTGGTGGTTTTGCTTAAAATGCAGCTGGGGTGCAGGGACCAAAGGCAGCGTTCCCCTCCAGGTCCTTCCCCAAAGCCCAGCTGCCCCTTTCTCTGCTCCTGAGGGTGTGGGTGGCCGTGGGACCCCCCATGTGCCGTGTCCACCCATGCTGGGGTGTGCTCCGGCTCCCTCCAGCTCATCTGCACAGAAGAAAGGAGGCACAGAAGAAAGCAGACACCCCCCTCAGTGTGCTCGGCCGGAGCCCAAAGCTCAGTCCCATTGGGATGTCCCTCTGAGACCCACCTGGACTTGCTGAGACCTGTTAGGAGATGGTTGGAGGAGCCGGGTGAAAAGATGCTCACGGGGCAGGCGGGGGGATGCCATCCTACCCCCCAGCCCCCTGCCCCAGCGGGGTCTCTGCCGGCTGTGCCTTCATCCCAGTGAGGATGGTGATGGTGAGAGTGAAGCATCCTTCCGGGCTGGCTCTGCAGCAGTGTCTCGTGCCATCTTCCAAGGGGCACCCAGGGCCAGACCCTGCCCAGGGCAGCAGGGATGCAGCTGGAGCAACCCTGAGCTCAGCTTTGCCTTCGGTGCCTCCGGGCACCCAGAAAAATCATAGAATCCAGGCACAGAGGAAGCACCATCCTCCCCGTGGGCTCCTGAGCCAGTGGGTGCTGCACCAGGACCCCCGGGTGCTGCAGGGAGATGGGTGCTAAGGCTCCCATCCGAGGGACAGCTCGGTGACCCCTCAGCTTCTGCTGAGCAAGAAAAATACCTTTTATTTGACTAGCACTTATCTGCCAGTGGCATTTCAAGCATTGCCCTAAAACAGACAATGAAACGCAGATGAATGAGGTGCAGGTCCGTGCAATATTGAAACCAGACAACAATTAAAGTAAAGAGAAAACACCAGCAGACATAAATCAGTCCCAAGCAGCAGGCAGGAGGATGCAGGCAGCGACACCGGGGCGAAGGGGCAGGCGATGGCAGCTATCGGGGAGAACACGACTTGGCCGCCTCTGATTAACTTTTTCTGCTCACGGTGATTTTTTAGCAATAAACAGGACAATGTGCCTCTGGCATCAGAAATAAAGGACATCATTTTCTTATCTCATAAAGGAAAAATCCCTTCCCGGTGGTAGAGGCAGTTCACAGATTCCAGCAAGGTTTTCAAGCGGAGAAAAAAAAAAAAGCCATCGTGGTTGCACATAGAAAATGCATGCCTAATTTGTCCAAGTAATTACTGAGCCCAGCTTGATGACAAGAGATACCTCCAGCTCTGAAACGCCGCTGATTGCATCTCTGATGCAGGGAACGGTCCCTGTTCCCCCAACACTGACATTCACACTGGGCCTGTGAGCACGGGCTGTGATTTCCCCGGGTTCCAGGACACGATTCGCTGAGCAGAGAGGGATGGCAGCACCTCCCACCTGAATCTGAACACCAGCCCCCAGTGGATGACACGCTTGATCTAATTAGGAGTCTGTCCTCCCATCAGGTGTCCAGGGGGGATTACAAACCACCTCGAATCATCGCCGTTTCCGTGCTCTCAGGCAGCTCCCTTCTTACACGGGAGACCTGTGGGCACCTGAATGCATCACAGCAAGTGAGGAAAAAGGAGGAATCCCAGTCGCTGGTGGCACGTGCCACATGTTGGGGTCACCCAAGCCCTGGGGAAGGAGAGCAGGGCACGGATGGTGGAGGACACAGCAGCCTGGCAGGGCTGCAGGGGTGCTGGTGTCAACCAGAGCATCCCAGGGAGGTGTGAGCTGGGGGAGATGCTGACACGTGGTGGGGACACAGCGAAACGGCTCCTCCTGGGATGCTCCAGCAGCCCCATTCCATGCTGGCAAACCTCTGGCTGCGTTATTCCAGAGCCCTCATCCCCCTCTTGGTTGCCTTGAGCCAGAGGACAAGGTGGCTTTTGGGGACACACGGGGTCTCACGGCGATCTCAGCAGAAGCTTTCTGCGCCAGAGCGTCCTCGCTGCACGTCCAGGACTAATCAATCTTGATTCATTGCTAATGAACTTGAGAACAGTGTTGGGATGGATCAGGTGCCACTCAGGGTGAGATGGATAATATAATTAAGATTTCCTCAAAGGTCCAGTCTTTCTTACCTTGTTAATTAAGCTGATGCGGGGCCCTCCATGCAGAATACATAATGAGAGGCTGCCAGAGATGGAGCTGGCTGTTAGAGGGAGGTGATGCTGGGAGAAACACTGACCTTAAATGCGGGGCTGGGAATATTTTGGCAACTCTTTGGGGGTTTGGTTCCCCCAGAGCAGCCGAGAACTGATCTTTGCTGAGAAATCACCTCATCCTTTGCACCACAAATGCATTTGGACCACACAGGACAGAGCGCGCAGGCACAGGGATGCAGGTGGAGATGGAGGAGCTCACCCCTGCCCGGGACAGACTGAGCACCACGGCAG